GAAATGCAAAGTACCACGTGATTTGCCAAAAAATTGCGAAGCATGTAAGCTGCAAGCTATTAATTATTTTTTGTACTTTTATATTTTTATAAGGAAGATCATATTTTACTGTATTATTGGTCATTACTTCGTGCTAGATTCAGAACAGATTGTAGCTATATTGTAAGAAAATGAAGTCAAAGATTAAGATAACATCATTTAGCACTTTTTCGGCCACACCACAATCTCAAGAAAATCATAAAATTAAAGTAATATATTTAATCAAATCGTAAAATTGAAATCTTAAGTTGTATAAAATTAACATAAAAAGTTAACATAAACATACACAAATCTTAAATGGAAAATAAAACAACTATACTTAATACTAACCATTTTTACAATGAATGTATTTTTCATAATTTTGGACTTAGGTCAGTTGTTAACTAAGAGGCTCTATCATACCGACAAACAATTGAGAATATAGATTTATTCTTATCGTGACACATACACACTCCTCCAAAAGTATTAGGACACTAACAGAAAATTAGATAAATATGAAAATCTAATATAAAATTGTTATAATTTTTTCATCTATTTCAAAGTTAATTTTATTAAACTGTAATAAGTACATAAATATATTGTACGTTGTAATAAAAATAACGCCAATTTTATAAAAGAAAATTAAATTTTCTTTTCGTCGATATATCCACCGCTTTTTTAAATTACTTCTTCGACTAATTTCGGCATCCGTTTTATTAATTTTTCTATTATTTCTGATACTCTTTGGTTTACATATTAAAACATTAAAAATCGATGCATGTCGTACTAAGCGAAGAGTACGAAATATACCCTGGATTAGATTTCAATGAACAAAACGCAATAAATGGGTAAACTAATTGCATAAGTTGCATAAAACAAAAGAAATTGCATAAAACACTTATAAACTTAATGCGTACTGTCAACAATATGATGTCATATTGCAGACTTGCAGACATTACCTAAACTGAATGGAATATTACAATTTACACTAAATAAGCAGGTATCCCAATACTTTTGAAGGGAAGTGTACGTCCCAATTTTCAAAATCGACACGTAACTCTTCCTAGCTAAGTACTATCGATTTCTAGTGGAAGATTAACTAAAATATCAACAGAAAAAACTCGGTTTGAAAGGGTTAAAGGACATACGGCATCGAGGCGTCGTTGTCGATCGCTCGATTCCTGGATCGTGCACGCGTCTTTAAGTCGCGCCGGGTTCCGGTTTCCGGAAGGAGCGCCTCCTTTCTGTCCGATCCCACCCACGCCTCCACCGGGAGCCTTCCCCAGGAAGCCCCTCCGATGGAAACGCGTTCAGTGTCCCCGGGAGCACGCAGCCAGAGATTTAGGGGAGGATCGGTGGATTAATGGCATCCCCCGCGGCATAAACGACTGCGGCTTTTCCTCTCGAATTCGCGATCGAAACGTCCAACAGCTGATACGATCTGTCCCCGGATTTCTGGACGGCGAGGCGCGACGCGACGCACCGATACCACCAATCCTCTTTCCTTGGACTTGCCCAGAGTGCAATTAACACGTATCATTCTGGTTCGATAAGGAAACGCTTCTGAAACTAAAACTGCTGGCCCTTTGCGGACAAGGTTTCTCCGAAGCATCAAGGACATTTTCCTTGGATTATGCATCGGAGGCTTGAATAATGGGATAAGCGAACAATACAATCTGATCAAGTATTACGTTCGCAATTTCTGGAATAAAGTACTGATGTTGTCGCTATGCTGATTATCGTCGAAGTGACTGACGCGTGCTGCTATATACGAATGACAAAACTGGAATTATTTATACTTTCTGATGTTCTTATTAAGTTGTAAATTTTTTAAAGGAATTTAAGGAATTAAAGGCATTTATTAAAGGAATTTATTAAAGGAATTTATTGAAGGAATTAAAGGAATTTATTCGATTGTTTCTAAGGAAAGAGATCTCATAATTTCAACAATTTGGGCTTAACTGTTCGACTGTGCATAAATGCGAACCGCTACTGCAATACCATTGACTTTTTTAACAATTCTTTTTTATCTTCCAAACAATCTTCTATCGCCGCTGTACTCTACTCATCTTAATGTTTCTTTCCATCCGCTATGGGCATTATATTATTATTTTTATTATTGTTATTATTATTAATATTTTTCCTCTTTATTATTATTTAATTTATATCATTGTCATTATCATTATGACTGTCGCGTATTATCATTATTATCGTCATTATTACTTTTTCATTTCTTTTTACATTGTATATTTTTTGTGGATCTACTTTAATTGTTTTGTAATAAAGGGGTCTCCCGTCTCTCTCTCTCTCTCTCTATCTCTCTCTCTCTCTCTCTCTCTCTCTCTCTCTCTCTCTCTCTCTCTCTATACATACATACACATATATATAAATTTGAAAATAAAAATTGCGGAACAAAATTTAACTTTATGCGATAATTGATCTGTGTGAAATACTCTATCTAGGTATTTATCAGGAAATAAACAAATTCGATGGGCTGATAAAAATAAAGAAGAATGAGACACTATCAATACGAACAATTAGTATTTAAAACTTTAAGCGACAATATGTCGAAAGTGAAAACATTGGACATGCGACGTCTTTATATGCTTTATATATATTATTTATATAAAAATTGCGGGACATGGTAGGTTCAGTATTCAGAACAAGATTTCTTCAAAGTACCAAGAACGTTTTCCTCAAGAAACTAGAATATCTATTGAAGGGTTAAAGGATGTGATGAAGAAACACTACATCCTAATCTATTGTCAACTGCATATCCAAATGATAGGTGCACATCTTCTCAAGGAGCTACAGAGCTTGCTAACAAGAAATGGTTTTTAGAAGCTCGTCTTCAATTACTTTGGTTATCAAATATGTTAAAGAGAACCAAAAAATAAGAGATACGTGTGTTTCCATATTCGCTCGTTGCATTTACAGGGTGAAACCACCTCTCGAAGTTTGTAAGAGGAAATACGAAAGATGCGCAAATGAAGCGTGCATTGTGTGATAAGACACAATAGTTCGATACTCCTGGTGTACATTAAAGTTTTAAACACTAATTGTTTCTATTGATACTGTCTCATTCTTCTTTATTTTTGTCAGCCCATCGAATTTGTTTATGTCCTGATAAATACCTAAATGGAGTAGATCAATTATCGCATAAAGTGTTGAATTGTATATAATTGCGACATGCGGCGTTTTTTCTTACAAGCACAGATTTGAGAGGTCAAATCGACGATCGCCTCACAGACAATCATTTCACCGACACGTTTAGATCTCTAACAATCGCTTCACCGACACGAAGTTTCGTCGACGATCATTTCACGCGACACTTAGATCCGTCGACAGTCATTTCATCGACACCGAATTTCGTCGATAATATCTTACCCGTATTAATAATAACAAATAAATACATAACAAATAAATAAATATATTGTAAAAACGATTAACATTATTAACAGATACATATTAAATGCGCAACATGACACGAACACAGATCACTACACGCAGACGATCACTCGGATGCAAACATTCTTGATAAAACTCGCTACCGATGAAATAATTGTCGGAGATCTAAACGTGTCGGTGATAATCATACCGATGATAATTACGTCGGTAAGCTGATTGTCGGACATCCAAATGTGCCAGTGAACGAATACAGACGGCGAATCGCGGCGTCGATGAAATCGAGTCGGGGAAAGCACGGTGAATGAAGCGATCGTCGATGATTGCAACGGGCCCCGATTTGAGAACGAAATCAATCGGAGTAAGAAGATGAGACGCGGTACGTCGAGGTGTTTCTCTCGGAAATCGTAAAAGGTGGAGCCGAAAACCGGGCGAAAAAATGCGAGGCACGCAGAATGGAACGCGACCAACCCCCGTGGAGACGGCTGCGGTCCGCAAAACCTGTCGCGGCCGTGGATCGAACGGAAATCGCGTCCGGTCAAACGGTGCCGTCCACCCGCGGTCCCGCCGAGGAAAATATTTTCTGTTTTTACGTGACGGGGGTCCGGTGGTCTCGCGAGAGTCCCCGTTAGGAGGCCGGGGCCGAAAGGGGCAGCAGCGGGGCCCGGGAGGGCCGGCGGGGAGCTGCGGGGGTCGGAGAGAAGCTGAGCCGACGCTCAAAATTCCGCGGCGGTGCCTTTTGTCCCCGCGATGCCTCGCCTTCTCCCTTTTTGCCACGGTTAGACGACGAGCGCCGTAGGAGCGCGGTCTGCCCTTTCTTCTTCGTCTTCCTCCTCGTCCTCTGTTTCGTCGTCGGCCATCGAGATGACGAGGAGAGCGGATCCAGAAGCTGCAGAGCAGAAGCAGAAGCAGAAGCAGGGCCCAGAAAATATTCTCTCTCCTCCTCGTTCCTCGCATTCGTCTCGGTTTCCTCCTCCAGTTTTGCCTCCTCTCTCTCTCTCTCTCTCTCTCTCTTTCTCTTGCTCTCTCCCTCTCTCTCTACACTCTTCCCGATCGACTAGCACGCGCGGATTCGCCTTGAGATCGAGTCCCGGGCATCAATCTCTCGTCAAACCTCTCGACTAGTCGTAGAAATGCCGACACAATGCCCCTTCTCGATCGGTTTCTGCGTCTCTCCTCGGCTCTCTCGCTCTCTCTCCCTCGGAATTTCTCCGTTTCTTGCTCTTTCCGCTCGGATTTGCGGATCCACTCGTTCGATGGGTTTTCTAAGGCTCCGCTGAGATTCGGCCCGGTCCTCCGGGGTCTGGGAATTTGGAAATTCCAGTCGATTCTCCTCCTGCTACAGCTTCTGCTACTGCTGCTACTGCTGCTGCTACTGTTACTTCTCTCTCTCTCTCTCTCTTTCACTCTCTCTCTCTCTCTCTCTCTCTCTCTCTCTCTCTTTGCCCCCGGTATTCCGGACGAATTATGAGATTGCGAATAAAGGGGAGAGCATTTCGCGATAATTGCGACGCACGAGCACGGGATGGCACGCGGAACCGCTCGTCGGATTCTTTCGCCGCGGATTCTTTCTGGGGAACAGAGAGCGGGCGAGTCGCGGCGATGAATCGCTCTCCTCGGGATCGGTACAGGACGCTAAACTTCTCGGTACTTCTCGATACTTCTCGGCGACGGAGCTACACGTGTGCCGAATGCGTCGAAGCTGTTTATTTACCTGGCAAAGGCAAGGATTCGAGGAAAGTGATCGCGCAGGTAACCTATTTGCATCCGAAAGCGGGATGATTCGCGCGATAATTGTCAACTGACATCGATTAATTAAGTATTATATTTCTAGGATCACAGTTGACTATTATCGTGTACATACGTTGTATCGCATACATACTATTATACAGGGTGTCCCAGGTTTTAATGTTCAAACTTTGTCAGTGTATTCTATGGCACAAAGTAAGAAAAAAATGTTATGTAAGCATAGGTCATACAGAGCTTTATTAAGGAAGTTATAACAAAAATTCAGAATAGGAATAGTAATCAACTTGCTGTTACTGCGAGCATTGGCTTGAATAGATCAGCACATGCCGTGTTTTTATGTAAGCTGTGTTTATTAATACATTTCGAAATGTCTACCGTTGTTGACAATACATGATTGACATCGATCGAAGATCGAAGTTATGACCGTGCGAATGTCGTTTCTATTCTCTTTCATTTCATTGAACGAATTTTTGTTCTAACTTCTTAATCGAGCTCTATATGACCTATGTTTACATAATATTTTTTTCTTACTTTGTGCCATAGAATATACTGACAAAGTTTGAACATTAAAACCTGGGACACCCTGTATAAGCAAGTAAAATATATTTCTCACAACGCAGATGGATTATTTAATCAACCCTCCAACTACATTTTTCATCTATTCGACCTCAGTGACACGTAATATAAGTTTGGTCCCAATCTTTCTGAACACCCTATATACGTGGTAAAAAAACACACATGTATCATACTACTATATAAAAATACCGGTATATTTACCGATATTTATCGTACTTTTTGGGTTTTCCTATTTCATTATAGTTTTCAAAGTATTTTCAAGTATAGATACGGAACTAGTATTATTTTATTATCGATATTATGTTAGCAAACGCTTAAGATGATAGGCGATTGCTATGATATCAAAGTCAGAGTGATTGCCAGCATGTTTGTGATAACTAGACTGCGGATTTTATGCATTTCAAGCAAAAATAGATAAACGAAACGCAGAGTGTTGATGACACAAGAAGAATTTGAAAATACTATTGTACTACTTTTAATGTACTAACATCGTTAAAAGAAGAAATATTTTTTTTATCTAACTTCTGTTTTATATAATGGATAATGAGGAAAATGTTTATTTTGCATAATGATCTGCAGTTTAATGATAACATACATATGTACTATGTCCTCGAGGGTTCATACTCTGTTAAAATAATTTCCCTATGTTATTATAGTCCGTATAGATTTAACATGGTAATTTAAAGAATTGTAGTTATCTCGGTTTTTTTTTATTTAAGCTTGTACTAAACCTCGGTATTCTTTGACTGCATAAATAATGAGAAATCTCTCGTATAAATTTAACACTACCAAGCATTAAAAGTGACTCGTCTGTGTTGCCATATACAAATTATAGTATTGAATTTATCTGAATTTTTTCCAATTTTATATCAATATATGTTGGGGTGAATAAATTTATTGAATGGTTTCCGATGGATGTTTCTTTATAATTTCAATAATTGTAGAGTAAGAATTGAGCCGTTTATTTTGAAAGTGGCTAAGTCACTAAGTGGCTAATAAATCACTTCGTTTTTAAGTCGAGATATTTAAGGGTTTGCGTTTTAACACGTTTAAAAATATGGATGCTAACTTTCGAGAAGATTTACTTGTATTTGTTATCTCAGGGTACTGATATTTTTCTCAGTATAAATAATTTCGTATAAACATTAAAAAATCACCACTTTTCATTACGGTAAAGTGACTTATGCCACTTTCAAAATAAACGGCTCAATTGTCGAGCCAGTCATTTTATCGGCGATGGTACATTGGTGTTAATAAATAATAAATAAATTAAATAAAAATAAAATAAGTAAAGTAAATAAAAATAAAATAAATAAAGTAAATAAAAATAAAATAAATAAAGTAATCAATAAATAATAAATAAAGTATCTGTTCATAAATAAGATAAAACAGTCCGATGGACGATGGTGTCGAAAGACTATGGAAGCCGCTGACGCAACGAGGAAGGTGGACACAAGCTTCGCGGAAAGCTCGAGGCTCCGATCGGAAGGTCGATCGAAGGCTTCTGCTCGCATGATGACACGGTGCAATTTTCTGAAAAGTCGAGGCACGGTCGAGTTACGAGATCGTTACGTAAACGTAGCCGAGAGAGCACGCGAAACAGGAAGCGGTGGACAAAGTTGAAAGCGGCGACTGCCGTGGCGGAGCGAGCTCTTGTCGGCGAGAGGATAATGAGCCGACCGAACGGGAATCGCCGGAATGATTTCTGGGCCAGCACGAACTCTTTTCACGGCCGAAAATTATAACGGCGTTCCCGACACGCGCAGACCCCTCCAATTGTTCACGGAAAATAAACACGGCGGGTACGCACAAATCGAATGCAGAATTCCAGTTCAGTCCTTGAATTATTTAAGAGAGGATCAAAAGTTTTATTTATTTATTTATTTTATTTTTCTTTCTTTATTTTATTTTTATTTATTTATTTTATTTATACAAGCGGTAACCTGTTAGTAAATAAAAAGAAAAATGAACAGGGTGAATCAAATAACTAAGCCAAGCTGTAGCTCTGCTTCGGGTGAATTTAGAAAAAAGTTGTACAGGAAAATTTTACACTGTTCAACAAGCTCTATTAGTCTATAGTGCGAGTTTATTTACGAGTGCATCGGTACAGTTGCAAAGTGCAACTACCCTTTTTAAAAAAAATAAAACTGTATATTCGTTTGCAGGTAGATCGATTCTCTAGAAAATTCTCAGTAAAAAAATATTAGGGTACAATACTAAAACAATTAATATTTTATGAAATATTTTACTTTTTTAACGGTAAGTATAGTAATAATAAATATGACAGCATTGTCGCGTCGCGTCGTAGAAATTCGACATAGGAAATTGTGCATAAAATATCTTGGAAAATATTAATTTTTCTGGTATTGTACCCCAATACTTTCTTCTACTGACAATATTCCAGAGAATCGAGCTTCCTTCCAAAAAACACAGTTACATCTTTAAAAAAAAGTTCAGTTGCATTTTGCATTACGGAAAAACTGTGAAAATACTACGAAAATAATTTTAAAAATAAAATTAATATGTCCAACTGAGAACAGTGAACGAATAAATAGTCGATGGCAGCTATCAACTATTAACATTTCTAAATATTTAGAAAATTAACATTTCTAAATCTTATATAAGACTGCACTCGGCTGCAGCGTTTTGCAATTGATGCAGGCGATTTTTATTTCGCGCAAAGATCCGCAGTCTAGCGACCACGGTTCCATTAATATGAATTATCTTGAAACCGTGGTTCGCAGAATTTTCGCAAGACTTATCGGTCTCGAAAGTGCAAAAGTGTACCCCGACGAATCGAATCTCGCGGTTCCAGTGCACCGGCCCGATAAATCGCGATCGTGCAGGTACGATGACACACGATCGACCCCTGAAGCGCACTGTAACCGCGCGATCAACGACGCGTTGCTGAGTCTGGGTCTTTATCCACTTGGAATTCCAGCTGCGGCGTCGACGAACCGCGTCCGACTATGAAAATCTATCTTCCCTTTAAATTCCCTCGGCAAGCTGGAACCATTGCGTGCCAGTGATTTTTCACGGGACTCCTTTTTACGGTGTTCCGTACGGTGTCGATTCATTATTATCGAACGAACCCCGTGCGCTCTCGAGACATTCCTTTTCTTCCATTGCGCCGCGGCGTGTGTGTTAATTAAACGAAGATATCGATGCATCGTGCAAAACCCGATCTCTGTTCATGGCTGGACAAACGATTCCACGATAAGAGAATAATTGTAACGATAAATATTAACGTTACATAATGTCGTTGCCGAGTAATCGAGCGTTTTCCGCGAAGCGCGTCGGTCCGGCTCCAGGATAAATAAATTGTTTAATTATCTCTGGTCTTTGGTTAGACCACGCCTCGAATATTGCTGAAACGTTTGGTCGTTGTGCCATCTGATAAATAAACATAGAACGCGTCCGGCGTAAATTTTTACGTCATGACTATTCGTCGATCCGGAGTCGCTCAAATCTTACGTCACAGACGACTGCAGCATGCCCTGTTATTTGCGCATAGAACGCTAAGTGAACATGTAGACAGCCTCGAAATCAGTGCTGTTTTCCAATTATAACAGTCTCGCTCGTCTACGAGAAATAACTGTATTCTTTCATCAAGGAATTTCGTCGTGTTCTTTACGGTCAACAAAATTGCATTAATAGGATTGCATCGCTAATGTGTAAATCGATATTTATTTATTCATTCATATCGGGGTTCATTTATTCATTCAAATGGGTGAAATGCTATTTTAATTTTTAACGAAGGCTCAACATAATAATATCAATAGTAATAGTAATAATAATAAGAATGGAATAACAATATTGTTACGGCGACTTGTCCAAATCAAGTCGCTGTAATGTGAAACTGCCCTGTTGTGAACAACTGCTTAAAAAGTAATAGAAGATAGGGGTTGCCACGGAAGTGTGTTACGGACAATCGAAGAGTCGAGGTCGGACCGTCGAACGAGCAACATTTCAAATTGAAAGATCTAAGATATAATTGTATCGAGTTGTGTTATAGTTAATATTCTTTATTGTAAATATATAAAATGCCGCGACGCGAGAGAAATGGAGTAATTCGCAACAATATCAATGACAAAATCAATATACTGAAAAATGAAAAACGTAAAATGAAATGAAAATGAGAAATGGTATTGCACCGTATGAGACTGCTACTAATTACTTATTCATCAGCGATGATAACAATTGTAAGAAAGATTGTAAAATTGTAAAAAAGAGGAAAAATTGGACCCCTTTATTGTTGACACGCAAAGTAAGAACAGTTGATTTTGGTTTTTTATTTAACACTTTTCTGTCAACAGTAACGCAATAAACATTAGCTGTCTGTGAGATCGCTGATTACGTAACTTTTAACAGATGCAGTAGTTAAGGGTTAAGAATTTTAGATAGCGTCAGCGAGAATTAATCTACATTTTCGTTGTTATATAATTCTGTCACTGTTTTGTTCATAATATATTTGCATATTTTAAAGAGCTCGACACGTCAAATAAATATTATTCTGATTATCTCCTGCAACGCGGACCACGATTAATTGTCGCGCCTTCGCGCGTCTTTTTTCCACGCGTTCGTCGCTCCTTCTTTCCCCCGAGCCAACGTCACAGCCGGAATTGAGTCGCTCCCCGAGAGATCCCGTTGGCTCCAGGATCCAGGGTTAATCCGCTAATTATTCCACGTTCCCCGCGAGGAGAAAACGAAGGAATCGATGGTTTCTACGGGCCAGTGGAACGCATACTGGGGCGGCAATGTCGGCCAGAGGGAAGAAGTCAAAACGAGCGGAACGGAGTCGTAAAGTGAACGAAGACACGGGCAATTAGGGTCGAAGTGGCCCCGCGTACGTACGCGATAGTTATTTAAATAATTGACAATGTTTACGAACGGCTCCCGTTCCGGAGCCCGGGCCACGGTTGAACAGGGAGAATCGAATTAAACGGCGACGTATGGTGAATAATTAATCGGAAGACGGTTACTTAAACTCTGACCGAGCCGAGGGACACGCGCTCCTCCCGCCGTTATCGCCCGTGTTATCGCGAGTCGCGAGTCGCCGCTCTTTAGACGAAACACGCTCTTATCAATGGCAATTCATTGTCGAGAGCGAAAAAAATGGTGCAATCCCCTCGAAAAAATTATCTGCCTCCGCGATATCGGAGTGACTAACCGAAACGATTCGGATCCACGAAGATACCCGTCTTCTCTTTCACCGTGTAACCGTTCGCGTAGATCATCTTGCTTACTTTATATTTCGTTTTCAGATTTGGGAGCGGATGGCTCTGGGAGGGAAAGCCAGATGCGTTGGGAGTAATAGAGGGAAGAGGGGGAGCGAAACAACAAATAGACAAAGGACCGAGGAGAGCAGTAACTGGCCGAAATTTCAAACGATACGAGAGAGACAGGCATAAAAAAGCAACGTCCAGATATTCTGAAGAATATAAAGATACGAAAAGAAGGCATTGCTTTAAATAATGGGCTCGTTTAGGGTGCGCGAGTGAAAAAAAATTACAAGTACAAAAGCAAAAATTATATGGAAAATGTAATATAGTAGTGTGCATAATTATAGACTGAAAATAACTTTTACATTGTTATCGATGTGTAAATGAAAACTTAACGTTAAAATATACAGATATGATGTTTTGTTACGTTTCTTTTTCAAATATACTTTCGTAATTTAAGATTTATTTATAGAACATCTATATATTTTATTAACGTAAACACTTACAGTATTGTATTGTATTAGTTCGAAAATAGAATATAGAATATTGTTCCATCGTATGGTGTCCATATCACAGAAAACAGTGCTCCAAAATAGAAACCGTGCAACAAAAATTTTTGCGTATGTGCTAACTCAAACTTGGACATCAAATGCTTTATTATTATCATAACTACATGCCGATATCTGCTCGCACGAATTTTCAGTCTCTTGACAGTCGCCTTATTGTTCTTCCACTGTTATGTTTTCCAAGCATCGTTTGAATATTCTCTGTTTATCTTTAAGAAGACATCTTCTTTTTACAAGAGGAACATCATAGTTCAGTAAAGTCTAATTGATTCTAATTGACGCTCAGATTGTGCACAAAAATGGACAATATGGACAGAGGAAATACGATTATTCGAGCCTTGCGGCTCGTTTTTATAATTGTTGACAATCGATGACTATAAAAACAAGCCGCAAGGCTCGAATAATCGTATCTCCTCTTCCCAAATTGTCCATTTTTGTGTAAAATCTGAGCGTCAATTAGGGGGAATTTACTGTACTTTGTTGGGCCAATTCAAATTATAGTATTGAATTTATCTGAATTTTTTCCAATTTTACATCAATATATGTTGGGGTGAATAAATTTATTGAATGGTTTCCGATGGATGTTTCTTTATAATTTCAATAATTGTAGAGTAAGAATTGAGCCGTTTATTTTGAAAGTGGCTAAGTCACTAAGTAGCTAATAAGTCACTTCGTTTTTAAGTCGAGATATTTAAGGGTTTGCGTTTTAACACGTTTAAAAATATGGATGCTAACTTTCGAGAAGATTTACTTGTATTTGTTATCTCAGGATACTGATATTTTTCTCAGTATAAATAATTTCGTATAAACATTAAAAAATCACCACTTTTCATTACGGTAAAGTGACTTATT